AACCTAACAATCCCACCCCTAACCCCAAGATCAGAATACCACCAATTAAAATAAGCGGAGTAAAGGAATGGTCAGGCCTTAGAGATGGTCTTGTCAATTGTACAAAACAAAAGCCAGAATTTTACACATCAGGCCGATACATCAACGTTCAGACTCACACAACATCGGACTACCGGATAGCTACCAAGTGGTTGGAAGATCGCCACTACACCTTCCACTTCAAGATCCTGGACGACGAAAAGTGCCTTAGAGTCGTCGTCAGAGGTCTCGACCGCTGCATCACTATCCCCGAAATACAAGAAGATCTGGAAAACAAGGGATTCGAGATGTCTAAACTTGCAAGACTACGAAATTCAAGAACAAAGGAGGAGCTCCCACTAATCCAGGTAACCCTTCCCAAGACTGCAAGGAATATAGAAATCTACAATATCACAGATCTCTGCGACATGAAGTGCAACGTCGAGGCTTACAGGGCTCCCAAAGGCCCCGGACAATGCCATAGGTGCCAAAACTTTGGGCACTCTCAGTTTGAATGCAGGAAACTCCCAAATGTGTAAAATGTGGAGAAAATCATTTCACATCCGAATGCGCCAAAGAAAAAGAAGTCCCACCTAAATGTGCAAACTGCCAGGGTCAGCATACAGCAAGTTGGCGTGGTTGCCCACTATACAGAAAAATAAATAGAGTGCCCCAAACCCAAATTAATAAGAAACCAAACCCCAATACAGAAAAAGAAAAATCCAACCCTACAGGTCCAAACCCTTCTGAAATTCCCCAACCCACTCAAAACAAGAATAAAACTCCATATGTCAAAAAAGAACGTCCCAATCCTCCTTCAGCCACTAAGGTCAACCAACTAGAGAGCGCTATCAAAAAGGCTCTCAGTGACCCCGCAATAATAGAAAACATCATGAAGAACGTTGTAGACACCTTTAGATGTAAATGAATAACAAAAATATGTATAAAAATAGCCTTCGAATCGTTCACTGGAACGCGTGCAGTCTCCGAAACAAAAAACAACAATTCTCAGAATTCCTGAACGACCACGACATCGACATCGCACTAGTGTCAGAAACCTGGCTTAAGCCGTGCCATAAAATGAGGATTCAAAACTTCATCACCCTCCGCAACGACAGACTAACCGGACAAGGTGGTGGAACTGCCATTTTCATCCACAAGAAGTACAGCCATGCACCTATTCATGCCACCACCTCAAGCCTGGAAACAACAGGAATTTCAATCAAAAACAAAAACGGGTTAAATATGAACCTGTATTCGTGCTACAAACCACCAAACACCTATCTAGATCAAACCGATATCTATAACATTTTTCAACGGAAACACCGACCATCATAGCAGGGGACCTAAACTGCAAACATCCTGCCTGGGGTTCCACCACCACTAACCCAAGCGGGAGAAGGCTCCAAAACGCAATCAACGTTATGGACCTAGATGTGAGCTACCCCGACGAACCTACTCATGACTCACCTCCAGACATCATTGATATCGCCGTGCACAAAAACATCTCCCAAAGCGCGTATACTCTAAAGTCCTGCACGAACTAACCTCTGATCATCTCCCAGTACTACTTGTGCTACAGGATTTCAAAATCTCCTACTCAAATACAAAAATAAAAATTACAGATTGGGCCCTATTCAAGTACAAAATGGAAATCGCTGAACCTCCTGAACTGATCCTAGATACATCTTCAAAAATAGACGAGGCCATTACACACATTGAAGAACAAATGGTGCAAAATTTGAAAGATTCAACAAAATATAAGGACCCGGAACTAGAACGAAGATATCCACCTCACATTAAAGAAAAAATACGATCCACCAACAGACTAAGAAAAAAAAGAAAAATACTTGCGACCCCCGAGATAAATCAGCCTACATGACGGCCCGGAGAGAATCACAGAAACTTACAAGAGAGCACGATAACACCAGCTGGGACCACTTTATCGAAAACTTGAAAGTCACGGACCAAACCATATGGAAAGCCATCAAACGATTATCCAACTCTGAAAAACAAGAAATAACACTGAAGACAAACAATGGGCAGACACTAACCACAGAAGAAGCAGCTGAATCATTTGCCAACAACTATGAAAAACAGTTCACCCCCAATCCCTATACATCCCACTCCAAACCTACTCGTACATACATCAAACGTGTGAATTCATACATGAAAAAAAATAAAGAAACAGGACTAGAACCAACAAACATTGGTGAAATAAAAGCGATTATTGAATATATACCAAATAAAAAAGCTCCCGGAATCGACGAATTACCTAATGAAGCTCTCAAACTGCTCCCTAATCATATACTAGCATCAATAACCGAAATATTTAACGCCTCACTGCAGCTTGCCCACTTCCCTGACAGATGGAAAACGTCCATTATCTGTCCCATACTTAAAAAAGGAAAATCCATCCATGAACCAACAAGCTACAGGCCCATCTCACTGCTACCTGCCATCTCAAAACTATTCGAAAGAATTGTTTTAAGAAGACTCAGAAAATCCCTCGAAGAAAAGAATCCACTCAGACCCGAACAATTTGGCTACCAAGCCAAACACTCAACATTGCACCAGCTAGTAGTTGTCACTGAAAAAATAAGAAAAGCCATGGACCTAGGCCAAATAACAGGAGCCGTATTCTTCGATATCGCCAAAGCATTCGATAAAGTCTGGCACGAAGCCCTTCTCTACAAAATGTGCAAAAAGCACCTTCCCGGAGACATCATAAAAATAACGCAAAACTTCTTAACAAATAGAACATTCAAGGTACGAGTCAAAAATGAACTTTCAACAGCTAGGAACATCCTTGCCGGGGTCCCCCAAGGATCAGTCACAGGACCAACCTTATTTGACATATATATAGACGACTTCCCCTGTATTGAAGACACCTCTTTACACCTATTTGCCGATGATACCGCCATTTTAGCCTCAACATATAACTTCGACAATCTCCACATGAAACTCCAAGAGGCCTGCATCTTTTCCACGCTCTGGTGTAAGGAATGGCGAGTCACAATGAACCCCCAAAAAAGTGAAGCAATCATTTTTTCCAGAAAAAAAGATAAAATTAAGAAACCTTTAGACGAACTTTTTGTCTTCGAAGACAATATTAAATGGAAAGAGAACATCCGATACCTAGGGATGACCCTAGACGAGCACCTAACCTTCAAAAAACACATCGAAAACAGAATTAATTTGGCGAAAGCTGCCCAACACCGACTATCCCTACTTCTAGGACCAAAAAGCAAATTATCCCTTCATTGCAAAAGAACCATTTACACTTCAATAATAAGACCAATACTCATATACGGCCACCCAATTTTCATGACAGCACATAAGACCATCCTTAAAAAGCTAGAAGTATTTGAAAATAAAATGATCAGAAAAATCATGTCTCCACCCTGGTTCGTTCGGAACACAATCCTCAGGAACGATCTAAATATCGAAAACATCAATGACTACATTATTAGACAATCATTTAAATTTTACGAAAAATCCGAAAAAATAGAAAATCCCACCTTTAAGGAAGCCACAAACTACAAATGCGGAAAAAGGAAAATAAGAAATTTGAAACCTAGACAAATTCTCCATCAATTAAGCCAGAATGACGAAAAGTGGAAAAAAAGGAAAAACAAACCCACCTTGAATATCAAACAAGCCCGAAAAAAACCTTCTCAAGAAAAATATCCCCAAGGACCTGAGAATCCGGACCCAACGACATCATTATAAATTATAATTGTAAATGAACCCCTGTACATAACCACCCCCCTCAGTATATTGTAAATATGATGATCTAGGTTGCTCTTTTTGAGCGGCACCTAATAAAGTTATTTGGAAACGTCCCGCCCCAAACTCTGTGTGTCTTGAAAATATAAAAATAAAAATGTGAATTTTCATAAAGATTTCATCATGTCGATTTTTTTTTTTTTGCATTTCACCTACTAAATCGATAGAGAAAATTACATTTGCAACATGAACTTAGGTATATTGACTAAATAGAAAACTGCATAGTAATAAAGATCATTTTTTAAAGGCACCATATCGTTTTTTTTTCAATAAAATCGAAACAAAAATTAACGATAAATAACGATAATTGCCTTAAAAAGAAATTGCCTTAAAAAAAAGAAACATTCGCGGTGATTTTGTCTTGCATTCGTTTATACAATTATTATATACGAATGACCCGGGCAACGCCCGGGTTTTACCCGATTAAATGCTTTTATTCAAATACTATTCGTTACAATTATAAATTGGCGCCGTGGATGTCATTCTTGTATAATATACTAGACGAATGGCCCGGGCAACGCCCGGGTTTTACCCGAGTGCGCATATATTTTAAAAACGTTTTAATTCAAATATTATTCGTTACAATTATAAATTGGCGCCATGGATGTCACTCTTGTGAAACGTCCCGTTCCAAACTGTGTGTTTTTAAAATGTTTTAATTAAAATACTATTCGTTACAATTATAAATTGGCGCAGTGGATGTCTCTCTTGTGAAACGTCCCGCCCCAAACTGTGTGTGTCTTGAAAATATAAAAATAAAAATGTGAATTTTCATAAATATTTCATCATGTCGATTTTCTTTTTGCATTTCACCTACTATATCGATAGAGATAATTACATTTGCAACATGAACTTAGGTATATTGACTAAATAGAAAACTGCATAGTAATAAAGATCATTTTTAAAGGCACCATATCGCTTTTTTTTCAATAAAATCGAAACAAAAATTAACGATAAATAACGACAATTGCCTTAAAAAGAAATTGCCTTAAAAAAGAAACATTCCCGGTGATTTTGTCTTGCATTCGTTTATACAATTATTATATACGAATGACCCGGGCAACGCCCGGGTTTTACCCGATTAAATGCTTTTATTCAAATACTATTCGTTACAATTATAAATTGGCGCCGTGGATGTCATTCTTGTATAATATATAAATGAGTTTTAAAAATTGTAAAAAAAAAAAAAAAAATGCATCGGCCGGGAATCGAACCCTGGCCGCCCGCGTGGCAGGCGAGCATTCTACCACTGAACCACCGATGGTTATGAAAAATCCCATCCGTGAGCTTCAAACAGACAAACAGACAGAATAAGGCAAATATATAAGTAGATAAATGAGTTTTAAAAATTGTAAAAAAAAAAATGCATCGGCCGGGAATCGAACCCGGGCCGCCCGCGTGGCAGGCGAGCATTCTACCACTGAACCACCGATGGTTATGAAAAATCCCATCCGTGAGCTTCAAACAGACAGAATAAGGCAAATATATAAGTAGACTAGACGAATGGCCCGGGCAACGCCCGGGTTTTACCCGAGTGCGTATATATTTTAAAAACGTTTTAATTCAAATACTATTCGTTACAATTATAAATTGGCGCCATGGATGTCACTCTTGTGAAACGTCCCGTTCCAAACTGTGTGTTTTTAAAATGTTTTAATTAAAATACTATTCGTTACAATTATAAATTGGCGCCGTGGATGTCTCTCTTGTGAAACGTCCCGCCCCAAACTGTGTGTGTCTTGAAAATATAAAAATAAAAATGTGAATTTTCATAAAGATTTCATCATGTCGATTTTTTTTTTTTGCATTTCACCTACTAAATCGATAGAGATAATTACATTTGCAACATGAACTTAGGTATATTGACTAAATAGAAAACTGCATAGTAATAAAGATCATTTTTTAAAGGCACCATATCGTTTTTTTTTTTTTCAATAAAATCGAAACAAAAATTAACGATAAATAACGATAATTGCCTTAAAAAAAAAGAAACATTCGCGGTGATTTTGTCTTGCATTCGTTTATACAATTATTATATACGAATGACCCGGGCAACGCCCGGGTTTTACCCGATTAAATGCTTTTATTCAAATACTATTCGTTACAATTATAAATTGGCGCCGTGGATGTCATTCTTGTATAATATATAAATGAGTTTTAAAAATTGTAAAAAAAAAAAAAAAATGCATCGGCCGGGAATCGAACCCGGGCCGCCCGCGTGGCAGGCGAGCATTCTACCACTGAACCACCGATGGTTATGAAAAATCCCATCCGTGAGCTACAGACAAACAAACAGACAAACAGACAGAATAAGGCAAATATATAAGTAGATATAATTTCATTTACTTTATTTTTAATTTTCCTGTAGAAGGGCGTTGCCCGAAAGCTCGAAATAAATTTATTTGCAAAAGAAACTCATCCCTCAAGCTTTTAGATTTGAACATTCAATTAAGGGATTAGTCTATTAATTAAATATGTAAAGGTTATTCGCATATTAAAACAAAATGTTAACGCGGGATTCGATCCCGGTTCATGGCTGTCGGTAATCGAGGGTTTTACCTACTCGTACACCGATTCATGTTTGTTTGTGTTGTGTAGTTTGTAGCTTCCTTGAAGGAAAAATCCCGGGGTTCCAAATAACTTTATTAGGTGCCGCTCAAAAATAGCAACTTATATCAACATATTTACAATATACTGTGGGTTTGTGTTGTCGGTTCAAAATCACATTAATAGGTACCGCTCAGCAAGAGCAACCTAGTTCATGATAATTGAAACAGTGAATAATATGTGAAGGTTATTCACATATTAAACAAAATTTTAACGCGGGATTCAATCCCGGTTCATGACTGTCGGAAATCGAGGGTGTTACCCACTCGTCCACCGACTTTTATGTTATTATGTTTGTGTTGTCTGGTTCAAATCACATTAATAGGTACCGCTCAGCAAGAGCAACCTAGTTCATGATAATTGAAACAGTGAATAATATATGGGAAAGTTATTAACATATTAAACCAAATTTTAACGCGGTATTCAATCCCGGTTCATGACTGTCGGGAATCGAGCGTGTTACCCACTCGTCCACCGACTATTTTTTTGTTTGTTTTGTGCGTAATAAGAGGGATATAATGGAATCTTTACAATCTGCCAAAGAGGTATTTAGCTAGAAAAATGGCTAGGCCAAATCTATAGCTAAAATATAGATGGAAATTTTGCTGGGTGGATATTGATCTGCAAAGACAAAGGTCGCCTCTACCGTCAAGGCACAGGTGACACGTCTCGAGACAGGATGGTCAGGATAGGGTTAGACGTGGAGGGCCAGACGCAGAGAGAGATTTTAAAATATTGTATTGACATCATACACAAGTCAATGGTGGTATTATAAAATAATCATAAAAAGAGGGATATATGGAAAAGATAGAATAAAAAGAGCAAACTATATACAGTTATGTAAAGTCCAGGAGACAAAGAGTCCTCCTCCAGACAGTAAGTCACGTTCTCCCCTCATCTCAAGGCTCAGAAACAACCTGTGAATTGATGACTTGGCAGACGCGAGGATGGTGTCGTCATCCAGCCCTTGACCGAAGAGCCAGTAGCCCTGCAGGTCGGGTGGTTGCTGTATTATGTCACGCAGAGAGAGAGAGAGAGAGAGAGAGATGTCGCCACTTGAATGTTAGTAGAAATTTTAGAGGTTGAAATAACTGCATTTTTTCTGTAATTTATAGCGTACAGTAGAACCTCCCTGTGAAGGAGATCTAATTTCAAAGCCAAAATGTTCTTTAGGGAGAGGTATCCTCTTACCGGAGAGTTGCTAAATAGTAAAAATGGTAATTTTGCAAATGAAAACCCTCCTTTGTGGAGAGGTGTCCGCTAAAGGGAGGTTCTACTGTATATGTTATTTAAGATATTTAATTTCATTTTTCAAAATATAAATTTATATTTCGTGATGCTGAGCAATTATTGAATTTTTCCATTTTTGAAAGGTAAACAAAATTTTGCAATTCTGTCACAATATATGTATATTTTTGAAATATATTTTTTACTTTGTTGTGATATATGCCATACAATTTAATAATATATATATATTCTTCATATATATTTATTAAACTGAATTCAAAAACTATTATATAGAATATCTATATATTTATTTAAAAATACATTTCTAAAAGCCAAGAATTGTCTAACTTCTTTCATAAAAGACAAAATTTGCATTTTTAAAGTCATATATCTTCTTTTTGTTAATTTTCATATAAGAGTTATCAATTAGAGATGCGATATTTTAGTAATAAAGGATATTTTGCAGAAGAATAAGTTTCTTAAAAAGGTAGAAATTTGACGCTTATGGCGAATGTAAGAGAGCTGCTAAAGCATGAAGAACTTCAGAATCTCCTTGCCCGCTGTACTGGACACACACTGTATAAGTTCCGAGATATATTTCGAGGTAAGAAAATAAATCCAAATTCAGAAGGTGCATATGCTCAATGTTTCATAGAGAAAAGGATAAGCCATCAACCTTCAATTTATAGAATTGTAAAGATATCTGATTTAAGAGATCCTGAAAAGGAACAATATTATGACGATGAAAGCTTTGGAACATTTACCATCAAAGATATCGAAAATGAATTGGGTCTTTATGATGCCTTAAGAACGCTACCATATGGACAAATGAATTTATGTTATCCTGATAGTTTCTATATTGTATATGATGATATCGATAAATTTAAAAACTTTCAAGATTTTTTCTGTGAAAGTAAAAGTTTCTTTAGATGTAATAAAGTGGTTAAATCAGGAATCTATAGTCTCTTTGTGGTATTCCGTCTTGATTATGGAGGTGAAACTCTTAAAAAGGTATTGAATTCTTCGGATCTTGGTCCACATCATATGCTAAGTATCTTCAGCCAGCTTTGTCTAGTTCTTGCTCACGCCGAAGAGCATATTGAATTCGTCCACAATGATCTTCATGCTAATAACGTTCTGATTCTTCATTCTACAGAACACTCTGTAATCTACAAAGTGGAAGAACAAGATTTCGAAATCCCAACCTTCAGTTATAATGCTAAGATTATCGACTTTGGGTGTTCAAATATTAGAAGGGATGATGATGATGATTATGCCAGACCGTTTGCTCCTCATACCAACGCTATCCAAGTTTTTCAGCTCTATGCTATAATGTGTGGATCACATAAGTCCTATGATTTTCGTTTTCAGGATGTAACTGTAACAGTTAGAAGAAGTCCAAGATGCATTGCTCTTTATAGAGCTGTACAAGATATTTTGAACTCAATGAAAACTGAACGACTACATGAAGCCGAAAGAGATTCTGTTGAACCTGAACTTCAAAAAGAACCTAGATTAATTCAAAAAGTGTTCAATCGAATTTTAACATTTTTCCATCTCCGTGAATCGCAAACAGAAATAGATGAATAGCCTGAAAATAAATTTGTCAAAAAGGCCTTCTTTATATTGTGTAATTTCATATTGATTCGGAATGTATATCTTCTTTTCTATTTAGATTTGTACAACTCTTTTTTTGTGAAATAGTTTTCTTCTTCTGCTCATAAAATCTTTTTCATATTTCTTTGTCAATTAAAAAAATATTGTATATGATTTGATTATTGTTCTTGAAACCATTACACAAATCTTAAAAATTTCAATGAAAGTTTTTATAAATTTATTTATTACCAGTTGCAAATAAGTCACGCTATATCCGATCTGGATAATTGCGCGTGAAACTATTTACAATAATTCATATTGTAGTAGAGTAGGTAACAGAATTGTCAAAATAAAATACACAATTAATAAAAAGAGCATTGAATAAACATATCCATTAAGCAACATAAGCAGATAGACAAAACCACAAGGTAGTTATTTACAATATGTTAAGCAATGATGGAAGTTGATTTAATGAAGTTATCTGTAATAATTAATATCGTGGAGAGAGAAAGTTGATCAAGTAGAGCTATTTACAATAAATTATATTCGAATGTAATTTATTAATTATTTACATTGATGTAAATCAAGTCGCATAGTAATGTGATATACTACTAAATGTGTAATTTATAAATTACTGTTTAGAAACCTGAACGTCATTTTATTTAATAAAAAATTTAATCATTCAGAGAGATTTGATGATTTAAACATTTTGTTTGTATCTTTGGTGTTTAGTATTTCAGGTGCGCATCTGACGTGAAGGTTGAGTCAAGTCCTACTGCTCTTGAGGGGTCGGTTTTTGGTATTTTATATCGGGACCGTTGACTGAACCATTAC